GTCTTGGGCGCCCATCTTGGGCGTTCGAACATTTTTTGCGAAAAAAAAGCCCTACAAATCGATTTGTAGGGCTTTTTAACATGAAATTGGTTCTGTAATCGACCTACCCAATGCATATTACACATAAAAGAGTCGAAATTACATCAAAAAATCGAAGCCCAACCCTTCTTCAAGCTTGATTCAAATTTTCGATTTTTTTTCCTTTTTTTTTGCTATTTGTAGTTTTGGGGGATTTTTGGGAATTTTTAAAAGTTTTGGGGATTTTGTTATAAACCGCGAATAGCAATTTTACGATCATTATAATTTGATAAAATTCACTGTAGAATAAAACTGGTTTTATTTATTATTTATTTATTAACTCGGTTGGCATAGCCCAATATACCCCAAGCCCAGCCTAACGTGTAGAGTCCGTTGATTTGAAATGATAATCCAGCTAAATTTAATCCCTCTAATTTTTATTTGCCTTTTTCTATTCTCTATTATTTCTTCTCTGATTTTGCCTCCCCAGCCTGTGAAATTAATCAAGGAAAAACAAAAAGGAAGAAGGAGAAGAAGAAGAAAAATCTGAAGGGGTAATAATGGAAGTTCCGTACAACTTCAAAGAAGAGGTCGGTGATGAATCTGACGAAGACGACGAATCAGGGAAAATCAATGAAGCATTCATTTGCTGTATTTGCCGGTAATTTCATTTCCCTCCGCGTAGGATTCCTTCTTTTTATAAAATTAATTATAATTATGCGCAGATTTGTTCGCCTGGAAGACGATGAATTTTGTGTATCTGTTTATTGCTTTAATAATTTCATGTTAATTTGTATTTGCTCAAGGCGTTCTGTTATGTTATGTTAGAAATTTGAGGTTTAATTTTGGCGTATCAATACTGTTATTGTTCATATTTATGTTGTTTCAGAGAAAATTTGTGCGCCTACTGTTAGAGCTCGATTAAGAAGTTGATTTTGCATTGGTTTTTGCAAGTTTTGAAGATTTTTAGATTGTCATTCAGTTGTTCATAGCTAGTTTTAGAATCATAGACTTACATATAGTTGCCGGCGCTGTATATTTTATTTTTCGAATGTGAAGTTTTGAGCGAATAAGCTTTTTTGATAATTCTGCTTCCGTTTTTGCAGAGATCTCCTTTACAAGCCTGTTGTGTTAGGTAAGGTTCAGCTCGAAATATGCGGATATCTGAAATCTGCATTATCGAAATGTTTGTAACTAAATCTTCCTGCCAAAATTGGTGCAGCTTGTGGCCATATTTCGTGTTTTTGGTGTGTTCATAAATCTATGAACGGCATGCACAAGTCCCGTTGCCCAATATGTCGGAACCACTATTATCATTTCCCCTTTATATGTCAGACGCTCCACTTGGTGCTCTTGAAAATGTACCCCGCTATCTATAAGAAAAGAGAAAACCAAACTTTAGGTCAGGTTTCTTGCAATCTATTCCTTCTGGTAGTAACTGGTAATTTCATTGCAAATTTGATGGGTTTTTCTTTTTGCATCATTTCGTGTCACAGAAGAGGAAAACAAGATGGGTTACTTCTCCCCGCAAATTAACGGTTCTGATTATGTGTCGTCACAATCTGAAGAGACGAGAATCAACCCATCCGATGCTTTTCAACCCTGCATTTCTGATGCTGAACCATCACTCGGTTTATGTTCTGTCAAAGCAGGGGGGCCAGCAGAGAGGACAGAACCTGTACAATACCGTTCCGGTTGTCAAGATATGGGATTGCTAAATTTGCTTGATCGTAGAAACGATATTATTACAGCAACTAATGATACCACTTCCGAAGATAGAAACTCGAACGAGGTTTCTGTTGATGATGTTCTGTGTGCTTCCTGTAATCGCATGCTTTTCCGGCCTATAGTTCTCAACTGCGGTCATGGTATGATCCATTACTTCCAAGTTTTTCTCGTAAATTAATGTCAACAGTTAATACGATTAGTAATCCGACATACTATTCTACTGAAAATTGATATCTGCAACCCCCGTACCCCACCCCCCAATAAATTATTTTTGCAGCATTTTGTGTCTGCTGCATTGGTCTCAAAACAAATGAGATGCTCAAGTGTGAAGTTTGTCAAAGTCCGCATCCCGGTGACATTCCGAAAGTGTGCTTGGAATTTGATCACTTTTTGGAGGAACAGTTTCCTAAAGAATATGGATTAAGAAGAGCTACTTTGCAGATGAAACAAGAGGAGTTCCCGAGCGAAACTCGTAGTACGTGTACGTTATTTATATAATGCTGTGGTTGTGCCATAGATATGTTTAGATACAATTGTGGGTTTTTGTTAAAAGAAAATGGTATCCAGCATCCTAGTTCGTTTTCTCTTCAGGATTTTACTCGAAATTAGTATGACAGTAAAGCATTTTGAAAGTATTATATTAAGGAATTCCAATTCCCGGACGAGAAGAGCTATTTTTCAATCTCACGATAGAAATTGCTAATATTTTGACGCTGTAATTTAAATTTGGTTCTCTCTCCTCTGCGAATTCGACAGAAAATTACTCACGTCTTATTTCCAGTACTGGTGTTTGGAAAGTTTCCGACTGTTGTCTATGGTCCGAATGTCCTTTGCATTTGTTGTCCGTAATTTCTAATTCCAACATACCGTTTTCAGGCTCATCGGAAGCTGATAAGGGAAATTTTCACTTCTCGTTTACATCAGGCGACGACCCTTTACCATTGTGGGATTCCAGTTCAAAGGTCCACATTGGAGTCGGTTGTGATTCTTGTGGGGTAATAACGCTGCTAACTTCGATAAACCCAACGTATCTATCGTTTTATTAGATTAAATTTACTAATTTGAGTAATTCATCATAATCGTGTTCTTGGAAATTGCAGATGTACCCTATAATTGGAGATAGATACAAATGCAAAGATTGTTCGGAGCAAGTAGGGTACGACCTTTGTGTAGATTGCTACACGACCTCTTCTAAGCTACCCGGGCGTTTCAATCAGCAGCACACTTCGGAGCACACGTTTGAAATATTGAAATCGGATGTGATGCACAATATTATGTTGAGACTTATCCGGGGGCAGTTAGAAGAAGCTTCTTCTGTCTCTGCTGCTTTGAATGATGGTTTGTTCAATATGATTCCTTCGTCTGAAAATGCCAATCAAGATTCCGAAAATGCCGATGATGCCCCTCTTCCCTCGTCCGATACAAATCAGATGCAATGACTTACATGATTTGGGTTCTTCTGCTTATTGCCAACTTTCGGTACTCTTTTTTTTTTCTTAAATTAAAATTTCGATTTTGTTGTGTTGAAATTTTTAACTGAAACCTCTCATTTGGCACATTACCTGTAAAATTATATATGTGGTATATTAAAAACAGCATTTCTTTTTTGATTTAATTATTTTAATTTAATAATTTAATAATAGAAGAGAGAGAAAGAGAGAGAGAGAGAGAGAAAATGTGACGCCACCTCAGCTAATTCATGATTGGCTGAGAGCTTTCTGCAGCACCTTGGGAATTGGAATTTCATCACCTCTATATTTACCTCATTCCCCCACGTAGACGTACACCAATTACCACCTTAAATATTACTATTTAATTATTTTAAATAAAAATTCAAATAAATTCGAAAAACTCACACGTTCGTCTCAATTCAATTTATTTCTGACTGAATTACATAAAATTTGAAGAATGGCTAAAAAAATTAATAATTTTATTAAAGATGGAAAAGCATTGTTTAAAAATGATATTATTCCTTTTGAACCAATGAGGGGAGATGATGAAGTATTGGCGGGAAGCAGTGAGCCGGAAAGATTCCGTTTTTTTGCATTGGGCCAAGCACTAAAGACTGCTAGTAATTATAGGCACTGTTATTATATTATATATTATATAGTCAGTACTAAGTTGATAATTTATTTAGTACTACTAGTAATTATTTGTTGCAGCACTTTGCACACGTACCGTACGTACGTGTGTTATTTAATTATTACTAATTGTATTCGTAGATGGGGAAAAGCCAGAAAATTAGGGGAAAAGTGGTGTGAGTAAAGGGGCTGTGGTGTGGCACTAGAAATGGACAAGATCATGTTAAACTCATTTTTAGCATTCCAAGATTTATACTTTTGATTTTTCATTTTATTTTTATGAGCATATATGCATGACATTTTGTTAGGGTTTGAAAACAATTGTTCACGTGGTATAAAAGGCTTACAATTGAATGTTTTGGGCGCATGAGTCTGTTGAATATAGTATGTCGATTCTGGCTCAAATCGGATCCAAACTATAACTATCTATATCTAGAAAAATAGATAAAAATTTGGATTAAGTAATTAAATTAGATGAATATTTCTAGTGCATCCTATCTCATTTTCTGTTAAAATACTTGAAAAAGTATTACGATTAATTTGATTTGTGTATTATTCCATTATAGAGGTACTTTATTTAGTCCGATTAGTTATCATTTATTGATACTAATTGTTAACAAAGAAAACCTTTTGGACAAAAAATCAATAAAAAAAACAATAATTGATGCAAGTTAGTTAAATATTTTTATGCATAAGATGAGACTGGAAAGAGAATAATGAGAATTACTTGTCATAAAATTTAGATTCCCTTTTTTCCCACCTTTAAAGAGATCAAATACGTTTTGCTTTATTTTATTTTTTTATTATTGTGTAGTAAGCAATAAGCGTGATATAAAGCAAAAGCGACTTACCAAAACTTCAAAAGAAGAGCACCTCAAAAAAAAATAAAAAATAAAAAAGAAAAGAAAAAAACCCTAAAAAAAAAGCCTATTTTCTTTAATTGTTTTCTTTCTTTACTTCAGTCAACTTATTTTTTTAAAAAAGATAATTAAATTTATGAAATAGTGGCTTTAATACTTTACTACACAAGTCAATATACCATTCTTTTCATGATAACACGAGTGTTCCCATTTTTCCTATCACTCTATCGATGCCCTTTTGCTTTGTGGGAATAAAATTACAATTATTTTGCTCTAAAGTTAATTACAATGCTATTCATAGAACAACTTTTACCGGCTTGCAGTGCGACTTTATTTCATTTGTAATTTTTCAAGAAAAAAACCAGCATTTCGTATTCCCTAACACGAAATGGATAGAAGCATTTCGTGCAAAGAAGCACGAAATAGTGTTTTTTTACGATGTACGAAACCATAGTATTTTAGTTTTTTATGTATTTCGTGTAAATTTACACGAAATACAAGCTTGAATTTCGTGTAAATTTACACGAAATACAAGCTTGAATTTCGTGTAAATTTACAGGAAATGCAAGCTTGCATTTCGTGTAAATTTACAGGAAATGCAAGCTTGCATTTCGTGTAAATTTCCAGGAAATGCAACGTGAAATCACTATTTTTTTAATTACTCCATTTTTAACACTCAAATAAATACAAGAGAATAACAACAAACTTAAAATGAAATTCAAATACTAAATAAACTAAAATTCAAATGTAAATACAAATTAAAATAAACCTATATTTCGTAAACTACGTACCATACTTTAATATAATAACAATATACACAAATCCATAAGACATTGCATAGTATTCATAACAAAAAATATATATTGCAAAATCTACAACCAAACTACAAAAATTATATGGTTTACATGCTAAAATAAAAAAAATTAATAGTAGCTTTTTTATAGTCGAAATAAACGGAATTGAATTTTTCTTTTCTTTATTAATTCTTTCTTGTTTTTTTTCATTATTGTAAATGTATTTATCAATAATTTTTTTTGTCGATTCAAGAAAGGGTTCCGTATTTATTTTGGGAATATTAATAATATATATAAATATATTTGTGTATATTTTTTCAATAAAAAATTTAAAAAAAAGGTAATTTACAGGCTATTTGAGCATTTCGTGTAAATTAACGTGAAACAACTATTTTTTTTTATTTTTTTTAATTATTTCATTTTTAACACTCAAATAAATACAAGAGAATAACAACAAACTTAAAATGAAATTCAAATACTAAGTAGACTGAAATTCAAATGTAAATACAAATCAAAATAAATATTTCGTAAACTACGGACCGTACTTTAATCGTGAGATTCTTGTTCTTGTTCCTGCATAACAAAAAATCGTATTAAATAACTTCATTTTTTTAAGGGATTTCACATTATTTAATACGATTTTTTTATGTAGGAACAAGAACAAGAATCTCACAATTTGATTCATAAGATTTAGGATTCGATTTGCTATAAAAACATATATTTTAAGAATAAAACTAAATTATGCTAAAATTATTGGTTTTGATTACAAACACTAGTTACATATGATCCTAAATCTTATAATAATAATAAGAATAATAATAATAATAATAATTACATTGATGAATATTACAAATTAAATGACCATAAATCATACACTTTTAATACTTAACTTTTTTCTTTATTGTTTTAAAGAAATTGGTCTGTTTACTATTAATTTTTTTTATATTTTAGCATGTAAACCATATATTTTTTGTAGTTGGTTGTAGATTTTGCAATATATATTTTTTGTTATGAATACTATGCAATGTCTTATGGATTTGTGTATATCATTATTATATTAAAGTATGGCACGTAGTTTACGAAATATAGGTTTATTTTAATTTGTATTTACATTTGAATTTTAGTTTATTTAGTATTTGAATTTCATTTTAAGTTTGTTGTTATTCTCTTGTATTTATTTGAGTGTTAAAAATGGAGTAATTAAAAAAAATAGTGATATCACGTTGCATTTCCTGGAAATTTACACGAAATAATACAAAATTCTGAAAAATAAAGCGTTTCGTGTTGTATTGCACGAAATGGAGTATTTCATTTCGTGCAACAGAACACGAAATTCATAAAAATGTCGAAAATCGACAAAAAACTCATTTTTTAATCTCAAAATCGATTTAGGTTTCATACTTCTTGATAATTATTGTGTTCTAAATGATACTATCGGACAAATTTGACGATTTGGTAAGTTTTAAAATTCGGAGGTTGAGAGGATTTCGAAAAATGTTAAAGGGTTTTTTGACAAATGAATTATTTCGCACTGTAACCGGAAAAAATTGCACTATGAATAGTAAGCCCCTTACAAAAATAAGGTTGTCATGATTTTTAAGAATTTGATTTGCCAAAGTAATTTAACAATACTAACTTTCTTTTTCTAAGCTTGTCATAAATAATAAATAACTTTATGCTAAAAATATGTGTAACCATGTTCAAACTTCAAATTAAGTTAAGAAATGTTACATCGGTTAAATATATCGGGTGATCCTGCACTATTGATATATACATAATAACACATACCCATGTGTATGTGTATCTAGTGGATAATTATTTATAGTGCAAAATCATTGAGGGCTTTTCATCGGTGGTAGCATTTCATAGTTAGTAGAAAACCATACATATATGCATATATGTAATAAATATTTGCGCAAATTACGGTCACCCCCTGAGTTATGGTCAAATTGCGAAAATACCCACTCTGTTTGGGTAATTACAGCCACCCCTTAACTATGTATTATTTTTCGAAAAGACCCGTCTAAAGTTAAATTTAGGGATGTTAATTCAGTAAAACCGAACCGAAATTTTGGTACACCGACATTTCATACCGTTTACCGAACTAAATATACCATTTGGTTTGGTAAATAACCGAATTACATAACTTTTATGTAAAAATATTTAAAATGAGGGTTAACTGTAATTACCCAAACAAGAGAAGTTTTTCATAACATGGGAAAAAAAGAAGGGGGTAATTTGAATGTTAATTTAATATTCAAATAATAAAGGGTTTTTATAAAACATTCAAGGATCAAAAGTATGTGAAGTTGGATAAATCATTAGTCAGATAAATGAATGTACTAAATACTATTAAATATAAAATGTACTAAATATTAAATATATTTAAGAATATAAAAAAGAAAGGGAAAAGGAAAATACAAAAGCGGAAATAAGGAAAAAAAAGGACAAAAATGAGTTTCCTATGAGTAACAAATACAAGGCAAGTGGGT